TTTAATAGGGAAGGAACTTTTCATTTTATTCTGTGTATCTAGAGTAGAAAGTATTGAACATCTCTTCATATTTGTTGAATGAATACATTTCTGTGCAGCAAATTTTGTGCATAAATCAGAAGTAGTCAGAGATGTGAAGAATTAAAAGGTATTTGCAGAAAGTGCTATTATAGTTTTAAGTGATCTATTTTGTCACTACTATATGTAGATAACTGCTAACTGATGATCATAATTAAAGCTGACAGATTTGATAAATTTTGTGATGAAAAATACTAATCCTTCTCTAAGCCTTGAACAAGAATATTTTTCTCTAAAAATTACATTTTTTAAATTAGAACCCTGGTTAGCTGGTGCCAGTGGCTACTCAGGAGGCTGAAATCTGAGGATCATGGTTAAAAGCCAACCTGGACAGGAAAGTCCCTGAGACTCTTTATCTCCAATTAACTACCAGAGAACAAGAAGTGGCACTGTGGCTCGAGTGGTAGAGTGCTCACCTTGAGCTGAAGAGCTCAGGGACAGCCCAGGCCCAGAGTTCAGGCCCCACAACTGACAAAAAAAAAAAGTTAGAATCCTGGTGACTATATGTTAACTTATGCAGTAAAACTTCCTATAAGCTGTTCAGATGATGAGCAGAAGTATTTTGAATGACCAGGATAACAGATTGTATTGTATAGACTCTCAACTAAGTATTTAATTCCGGTCTAAATGTAAGTTGTTGGGTAGTACCTAATTATTTTCACAAAAATGCATAATCATAAGGGCCAGTTTCTCCATGACTAACTACACCCTGCAGATGTTTCTTAGGTTCTGCTGAGTCACTTTTTTCCAGGACTCTCTGTTCCGACTCCCAGTTCCCTCTGGTCCTTTTGCATAATCTGCCTTTTACCTGACTTTTAGGGAAATTGGTTTCACTGCTATTTTTGATGTTTTATATGCATATAGTAGGGTTTTAAAAAGTACTTCCAATTTTACCTATTATTATAAATCCTATCCTGGAGAGCTAGACATTTAAGAGTTTTTGAAAAGTCACCTAAGTCTTTATATGCAAGGAAATCTGTCAGGGGCCTCCATCCAGATCTCATGGATGAGTGTATTCTGAGTCACCCCACAGTTGCAGTCCCCAGGCTTCTGCATGTGTTTTCTGCTCTTAAACTACCTCTCTTCTTAATGGGATCCCCTGGCTGCAGGAAGGACAGCTGACCGTGGCTTGCAGTGCTGGAGCTTGCTGTCACAGTGGAACCTTTCCAGGAATGTCGGGCTTGTATTTCCTTAGCAATCTGAGTGTTACAGAGCCTTCACTGCCTGGTCTCCTGATAGAAAAGCTTTCAGGGATAGAGTTTGCCTCTTGAACATCGACAGAACTGTTTGGCTGCTTGCATAGTTCCATAAGGTATTCACCGATTCAAAATCAATGAAGCCCTTACTATGTGATTGTAATCATGAGAAATGTAAAGAAAAATAAGTCCTTCCCAGCAAGCTTTAGAGAGAAGATGGACAAGTGCACCGCCAAGTTCCTGGGGAAGCTGAATTGGTAAAATGGGAGGCAAGTGCTATAAAAATGCAAAGGGAAGACTGAAATGGAGCCCACCATTTGTAGACTCCTCATTAACCACATTGTATAACTGGCTACCACACTAAGACACTCTTCATGTCTCCACTCATGTTCATTTCAAGGAATAACCCTACTGATTACTTCTCCCTAAAACCAGAGCTCTCCAGATTGCAAGTATTTTCTATTATCAACTGCAGAATCATTGTGAGTGCCTGTGGATAGATCAATTAATCATTTAGTTAATGGGACTATGATTCAGTTTTCCTTGTATGCACTGGGAATAGAAGAAAGCATAATGACAGAAGGAAACCCCCTGGAATCAGAAGACCACATCTGCATTGCACTGTTGGCTCAATGAGTGAGTTCATTCAGACCAGCTGGCCTCAGGATCCTCATCTGAAACTATTATTTGTGAAGTCTCTCCAACCCTCACATTCTAAGACTTACTCAGAAAGCCTAATTAGTAGCTTAGCAACTTTCAAATTTCTCAGAACCTAAAAGGCATATTCAAGCTCAAGTTTACTGAGGGGAGTTAGGAAAAAACAGTATAAGCAGCTAGCTTCTCAGGAGACAGAGATCTGATGATTGAGGTTCAAAGCCATTCCAGGCAGAAAAGTCTGTGAGCTTATGTCCAATTAACCAAATGCAAAAAGGCAGAAGTGGAGGCATGGCTGAAGTGGTAGAGTGCTAGCCTTGAGCAAATAACCAAACAGGAACATGAGGTCCTGGGTTTGAGGCCCATTACAAGCACAAAAATAGATAGATAGATAGATAGATAGATAGATAGATAGATAGATAGATAGATAGATAGATAGATAGATAGATAGATAGACAGACAGATAGATAGACAGATGTAGGGAACAAGTTGAACTACCAGTCTGCTCCTGTTAGTAACTATCAACAGTGAAACTATAGGAAATACCCTTTGCAGGTGTCAACCAGCCTTTGCTCTAGAAATCATCTGGTCACAATCTGCTCAGTTGGGGAAAAACTGATAACTCTGGCCAATTTTATCCCTCTTTCTTCAGTCATTTTTTGCCCCAAAGGCGATCACAGTAAGTTATTTGAAAATGAAAGGAAAGCCTGAAAACAATGTAGCAAGACTCTTCAGTTCAGAGAGGGGCCTTCAAAGAGGAGCCTGTTCTTTCAGTCTGGAAGAATGTCATTCTATATTTACTCAAACATCTGTACAAACACACCTAACATCCATCTCTTCCCTGCCTGTCATCTTTAGTGGATATTCAAAATAGTTATTCCTCTGATTTAACAATCTTTTTGGCACTGTTTGCATCATGTATTTTTCTTATCAAATGGATGATCCTGGCATTGCTTAAAGCTATCTCTATATGATTTTAGAGCAGTGGATATAACTGGAATTAACTCTGAAGTCGTGATGATTTCTTAGGTCTCGGAACTTGACTGAAGTACAAGAATCTCTCTCTTTAACTACCTTCAATCCAGAGAGCACAGCATCACCTCCCGAGTGGAGCTGAAGATCTGTTAGGAACATGACTCAAGCCCGAGTCTGCAAAGAGGAACATTGCAGGCTTGGTTTTGCAAATATAAGCTTTGTGGGTTTTAGAGCTGGAAGAGGACTCAAAGAGGAAACCAGTGGCGGGGGAGGGGGAAGCATAGCTATCTGCTTCTAGGAAAGACTGCAAGGGATTGCCTGTTCAGCTTGGACACATGGAGAAAACAAAATGGAGCAGTTTCCTTAATTTAAAATGAATAATATAATGGTATGGCTCAGCAGGCTCTGTGGAGGTATGTGTATAATGTAATCTGAAACTTCACCTCTCCAGCCTGGTCTTATAGGCATCTACAGAGAAGAAGAAAAAGGAGGAGGGAGAAGAAAGTAATGGTGGGAGATACTTTGCTAAGACAGTTACAATACCACATTAAAGGATAATCAACTCTCTCACACCTGACCATTTCACAGCAAAGCCCAGAAAGGGAAAGCCAGAAAATAATTCCGAAAAACCAAAGCCTCAAATTAGTGGCTCTGCGGTAGAGGTGTGCTCAGCATGTGGAAGGAACTGGAGTCAATTCCCAACCCATGGGCAGGAATAACAAGGAAGAAGAAGAAGGGGGGGGGGGGGGAAATATAGCCACAAAATCCATTTCTATTTCGTTTGTGGTTTGTCTGCCCCTGGATGGAACTTCCTCCGACCCACAGCTGTCTTCTCTAATGGGAGCACCGTCCTTTCTGGAAGCTCAGGGCTGCAGAAGTCGTGCTAGAAGTCTCTCAGAGACAAAGGCCAGGATCCAGGCTGTCCCCGCGACCCCCGCTGCCAGCTGGACCACATGGGCACGGGATATTTCGGCTGATTGATTGATTGAAGTGTGCAGTACATCTTCATCCGTGATCCTTGCTTTTGTTCTCCCCTTCCCACAGTCCCTTCTCTACCAGTCAAGGTTTTTCTGTTCTATTTTTCACATATGCACAGAGTCTCTGACTGTGGCTATTCACCGTTCCTCTTCCTCCTCTCCTGTGAGCCTCTGCCCCAGCAGTGTGTGTGTGTGTGTGTGTGTGTTGGGTCTTGAACTCACGATTCTGTCCCTTCGTTTTCTCATTCAAGGTTGGTGCTGCTCTACCACTTGAGGCACAGCTCCCCTCTGGCTTTTTTGCTGGTTCACTGGGGATAAGAGTGTCCTGGGCTTTCTTGCCGGGCTGGCTTCAAACCTGGATTCTCAGAGTTCAGACGTGAGGCACCAGGCTCCCAGCATTGTCCCAGCTTCTCGACTTTCGCTTGGTCAGACCAGACGCCTCTGCATGCGCTTGTGCTGTGGACTCTCACGTGTGGATCTGAGACGAAGGGCGGGCACCTGCGCCCCGGAGTGGGCCGGGGTAGGGGCTGGGGGGGGGGGGGTAACTTGCCCATCTACCCTGCCCACCGTGACGTGGCCAAGCCTCGAGGCAGAGGCGTCCTCCGCTGCCCAGAGCCCCCAACTCCAGACCACATCCCCGCTGGCCGGTCCCCGCCGGCCAGGCCAGCGCTGCCTCCTGGTGGCCACGCAGCGGGTCCCGCGCCCGGGCCTCCCACGCGCCTTCTCCTTCTTCCCGTAGACCTGCGGGCACCGTGGGGGGACCGGCGGCGGCGGGGGCGTCCGGCTCCCCCAACACCTGGCCCCGCCCGCGCGGGGAACCACGCGGGAGTCAGCTCTGCGGGGGTCCCGGGGTTTCCTGGCGGGGGAGGAGGGGGCCTGGGACCGGGAGGCGAGGGCGCGAGGAGGCGGGCGGGGGGTGGGGGTAGGGGTGGGAAGAGCCGCCGGGGCGGGGCGCGGGGTGGGCGGGGCTCCGGGCGGGGAGGGGGCGGAGCCCCGGAGAGGCGGGAGGAGCCCCTGGGGGGGCGGTGCGGGGCCCGGAGGCGCGGGCGTCCTCCGGCCCTTCATAACGCGCCCCGCGCGCGGGCTCGGGCACAATCGGGGGCCGCCCGCACGCCCGCGTCTTCTCCCATTGCCCCAGGCGCCCGCGCCCGCCGCGAAACCCACTGGACCTCGCCGCCAGCCCCGGGACATGGAGGTCTCCGCCCGGCCCCGGCTCCCGCACCCCGAGATCGCCGCCCCGCGGACGCTGCTGCTTGGCTGGGTCCTCGCCCAGGTGGCTGGAGCTGCGGGTGAGTGACACCAGCCCTGGAGACTCGGGGGGACAGGGGACCGCCCTGGTTCTCCGAGGGACCCCCCCCCTCCCGCGCCCCTCACCCAGCCGTGGTGGAAAGGGTCGCTCGCGCCCCAGACCCCGCGGCCCCAGAGGTGTTGGCCCCGGGCGCCCGTGGCGGGTGCATAAAAGGATCCCTGGCTCCGGAGCGAACTGGGGGAAGAACTTGCCAGTGACTGGCGAGCCCGGGGCAGGGGTCGTGCCTAGCGTGCCGTGGGCGGCCCGTGGCTCCGGGTGTGGATAGAAGCGATCGGGTTGTGGGTGGACCGGCCTGGACTAGCGGAGACTGGGGAACACCTGAGTGCTGGGCGCGGGAGACCCTAATTATAAAGCAACCCTCGCCAAACTCTGCGCCCCGCCTGCCCCGGGTCTGCCCTGTGCCCAGTGGTATTTGAGGACTGAGATTCTTCTAGATAAAAGTGGAAAAGCTCAAGAGGGTTGTATTTTTGTTTGTAAGCATTCCTAACTTGCTCACAACATGTGAGATCTGCCCTTTTCCTAAGTCCTGGGGCCTGGTCCTGGGGGGTTGAGCCTAAATCCTCTGGTGCCAAGCTGCCAGAGCCAGCCCCTTGCCACAGGAAGGGCTCTTGGGGTGCACGCAGGCCAAGGTGTAACAGGGTTTGATGATACGATGGAAATCTGGGTCCAGAACCTATTGGAAGATTTCTTTTTCTGTCCTTCTTGATAAATTAGTAGCAAAGTTATTGTGATTGGAAAAAAAAAAAAATGTGAAGTGGATGGTGGTGGAGGCCAGGGAGGTGGTTTTATACAGGCAGCACAAGATCATGGAGTGGGAGGTGCGTGTTAATAATAGCTGTTTCTCTGTGTCCCAAGGCACTCCTGATAGAGCCTATAATTTAACTTGGAAATCAACTAATTTCAAGACAATTTTGGAGTGGGAACCCAAACCCATCAATCATGTGTACACCGTTCAGATAAGGTAAGCTAGGTCCAAAAAGACAAACCCAAGGGGGAGAGAGAATATTAAGGTTTTTGACATTCCTCTTCTGGGCTGAATAGATGTTGTCAAAGGTGTTTATTAGAACAGGTTGTGCAGCAGGTGATAAAGAGAAGGGAATTCATGGTGATCTGCTGGCCTGTGTTATATTCTATCAAGCTAGTAACATTTCTGGTCTTTAAAACGTTTTTTGGAAGTGATAGGAAGATTGATAAGTGGACCATAAGGTGTGGAGAGGTGAGCGTGGTTTTTTCTAATGTTCTATAGGCACAGGTGTCCTTCTGTGGCTATTAACTGTCTAGTCTGTGAGCCACATGTAACAGAAGGGGAGGCATGTGCTACCTTGAAGCCGTGTTTGATTCATTAATCTCTGGACTCTGTGAATCAAAACTTCGTTGCATACATCATCTTGGAGAAGGCCAAATTTCTGAGTCAGTAAGGCACAGAAAAGAAGCCGTTGTCTGTGCCCACAACTGTCTGGGGCTGCCTGGCCCTTTCAAAGCCTCACCGCTGATTGACAGCTCTCCGCAGAAGCAGGTAATTCAGCATAGTGGATCTTAGTGTCCAGGATGTAGCATATATTTTCCATGATGGTTTTTACCACTAGCAAATTTGGGGCTTCTGAGGTGTTTAAGGAGTCTCGGTTGAAATCTTAAGAAATAGAGGATAGCTAGTGTGGAAATTATTTTAACAGTAATGGTATAAAGATACAAAGTGTCCCTGGCAGTAATGTTTGCCTTTATGTTTTGTTGTTCTACTTGCGTTTTTATAGCATTAGGATTGCAACTCCTAGGTGTGTGGATAATTCTCTTAGATGGATAGTCTCGCTTTTCAAAATGAACTCCATGTCAATTGCCAAACACACACAGAAGAGAACTTGTATGTGTGTGTCCATGTATAGATATGTACGTATGCATGTATAGAGAGTGAAAGAGTATATGTGTGTGCGTGTATGTGTGTGTGTGTGTGTGTGGGTGTGTGTGTGTGTGTGTGTGTATGAGAGAGAGAGAGAGAGAGAGTGCGCACTGGGCGCTGGTGGCTCACGCCTGTAATCCTAGCTACTCAGGAGGCTGAAATCTGAGGATCATGGTTCAAAGCCAGCCCGAGGAGGAAAGACTGTGAGACTCCTATCTCCAATAAACCAGTAGAAAGCTGGAAGTGGCGTGGTGGCTTAAGCAGTAGAGTGCTCACCTTGAGCTGAAGAGTGCAGGGACAGCGCCCAGGCCCAGAGTTCAAGCCCCACGACCCACAAAAAAAGAAGAAGAAGAAGAAGAGAGAGAGAGAGAGAGAGAAAGGAATTTCATAGCCCAAAATAATGACTACAATTATGTTCAGACTTGTCAGATCACATTCTTACTAGTTAAGAATTAGTTATGAAATTTGCTGTAACACCCCTGAAGTTACCTTAAGACAGTGAAATTACATTTTGGAAAAGACTAAGTATGTGAAGAAACACCTAGAAGTGCACTTACGATTCATGTCTATGACATGGAGGCCTTTATTAATTGGAAGTTCTTGAGCTTGAGTTTAAGATGATCATTTTTTAAGCACACTTCTGATTTGCAAACATGAGAGTGGAGGGCACAGCTTGGAGAAGTGAACGCGGATCCCCAGCGCCCAGCCAGCTGGGCTCAAGCTGGGCAGGCCTAGGAGTATATATATAATCACAGCTGAGATTCACCTTGTAATCCCCAGTGGAGGCTCCTCGCAGACACTTTTTTAAGATGAGGACAGTGATACTCTAAGAAAAGAGGGATTTATGCCAACTCTTACTGGTAGCGAAAGCCCTGCAGGCCTGGGACTCAGTGTGCCCTGCTCTGTCACTTCTCAGGGAGCTCTGCTAGTCCAGGGGCTCCAAGCTGGGAAGAAAGGAATCTTTGCCCACCCCCTCTCCCAGAGGGCCTCCATCCCTCGAGGTTTCCCTCCCTCAAGGAAATAGCTTATCTACTCTTCCAAGCCAGATCTTGTCTCCTGCCATTGGCCTGGCCAAGAGCACTTCCCCCCTCCTCCACACACACACACACACACAACCCCTTGGGAAGCTGATCTTAGTGGGTGTAGGGGAAGTGCCGGTGTCTTTGGTCTGAGTGACCCCTATGGAGATGTTCTGAATTCTAAAGTGAAATTTCAAAGGCTTCCAGAAAGGAGCCTCCATGCTACGTTCATGGCCATCTCTGTTCTGTTGGACTGTTTTAGTTACTTGTTGGATTTGTGGTTCTGCAATATCTAGAGGAACCTCAAAGTGTTTTAAAAAATCCAGAGGATCTCCCGGGAGACTTGCCCTTCATAACCCGTCGGCACAGGCTCAAGGTGACGTGGGGTCTTGGACTACATTTTGCCATGGAGTGCCTGGCCCTGCGTGTGAGGTAGAGGCACCAGAGCCACGTGCTCCCGACTGCGTCCTTGCCTAAGCCCAGCTGGCCAAGTCCTGCTTGCCCATTACAGTCCCCTTCGCTTCTTAACACGGAAGAAACAGAATGAGAAGGCATTTTGGGTTATTCTGGACCCAAACAGCCTCTCTGCTTATCACAGACAAAATATAAAACAAGCCAAAATATTCCAATGCTAATCTGCAGGTTTTAGGATGAAGAATAAACGTATCAGATTCTTTCAGGCTGGTTCCTTACATCAGCGTTTTAGAGCCACATTTATTTATGGCTCTTGGGTGTGGTGTTAGCAGTTAGAGCTATGTGGTGAGCACAGTGTTTTAAGTCTAACTGTAAAGGTACTGCCTCACACACAGGCAAACCCTACAGGCAGACCCAGCTGCCAGGCAACGAGGAAGCCCGAGTCAGGACCACGACTACAAAATAAATCACAGAGTTCTTCAATGTCAGGGGTGAGGGGCAGTGCCAGGGCCCGCAGGGGACAGACAGGGAACAAGATCAGTGCCAGGCATGGTGAGCTGCAGACGCCTGGAGAAAAGAGGTAGCATCTGCCTTGAGTATGGGCGGAACTCCTACAGGCCTGTGTAGAAGGGCCGAGTAGTGACTTCTGCCACGCTGTGAGTGTGGGAGGGAAAAATGCTCATGAAGGGACAGAAATACTTGACCTGTGATTGTTTGGGTCCTTTAGAAGAATTTCATTTTCAAGAGTTGTTTGTTTGTTGTTCGTTTCCTCTTTGGTGGTGTTTTACAAAAGGAAGACATGGTCTAGACCTGGTGTTTTACAGCTAATTGTAATCCTAGACACGCGAGAGACGTAGCAGGAGGATCAAAGTCCATGACCAGCCTCTAAACTACTAAAGAAAAAAAAAAATTGCTGGGAATGTGACTTCGGTAGTAGAGTACCTCCCGAGCAAGAGCAAGGCCCTGGATTTAAACTCCAGATTGCCAAAAAAAAAAAAGCAAAATAAGAGAGAAAAGGAAGCATGATAGCCTCTGAATTTGTTAGATGAGAACTACCTGTAACTTTATTCTCAAATCGTTCACTGTTCACAGTTAGCATGCTGTATAGTAAGGCAAACTGACCCAGGTCTGCCACTGCTCAGCTAGGTGACCTTGGAAGTTACTTAGTGTCTCTGAGCTTCCATGTCTGCACATATGAAAAAAATAAATTATATGTAATATAATTATATATTATAAATTTGTATGTTTATATCCTTTTATGTATAATAAGTTTATATATTTGAAATTATAAGTTATATATATATGGTATCTTCTTGGAAGAATTATATCAAATGAAGTAAGGTGTATAAAGGATCTGGTATTATACCAGAAGAGTTAATAAATAATTAATAACCATGTCAATAATGATCATGATAGAATATAATTATACGTAGAACTACGGTATTTGGTAGACTTTATTACTACCTACTCACTTGGACTATAGAATGTGATGGACCAAATTTAACTAATACAATACCATTAATATGCAGACTGTAATAATAATTGGGTCTTGATAGAAAACTGCTTTCTTCCAATAATCTTGACAAGCACCTCCATTTTGAGGGCGATATTTAATAAAAGCGCAAACCTAGGAGTCAAACTGATGTCTGGCCCCAAGTCCAGCTGTGTGTGTGTGTGTGTGTGTGTGTGTGTGTTTGATCAAGTCACCCAATTGCATTTTGTAAGACCAGGGATAAGGACCGAGCCAGCAGGGGGTTGCTTCGTGGCTCTACCTCCCCAGGGTGGGTAGGGGAGCATGCTGGGAGCCACGTGTCCTGTGAGAAACACACCACTCCATTCCATTTCTTTTTCTTCCTTCCTTTCTCCAGCTCTGGATTTGGAGACTGGAAAAACAAATGCTTCTCCACAACGAGCACGGAGTGTGACATTACTGACGAGATTGTGCAGGACATATACCAGACGTACGAGGCCCGGGTCCTGTCTCACCTGCCTGGGAACTTACATCATACAGATTTTGTTGGAGAACCTCCCTCGGCAAACTCCCCGAAATTCATACCTTACTTGGACAGTAAGTAACTCGGGTTGTAATACCTTCCTTTTTTTTTTTTTTTTTTTGGCTTGGTCTTGAGGCTTAAACTCTTCAGCTCAAGGTGAGTGTTCTACCACTTGAGCCGCAGCACCACTTCCAGTTTTCTGGTGGTTTATTGGAGATAAGAGTCTCACAGACTTTCCTGCTTGGGCTGGCTTTGAACCTCAATCCTCAGATCTCAGTCTCCTGAGTAGCTAGGATTACAGGTATGAGCCATTGGTACCCAGCTAATACCTTCCTTCTTGTTTTAAGCTTCTGAATGTCCTTGTGGCTTGTGACCCCTCTCCATGGCTACTCAATTTAAAAATAGATACTTTATAATATACTTTATAAGTATTTATTAATGTATGTATATATGTATGCATATGCATAAACACCTCCCCCCCCCTCTCTCTCTCTCTCTCTCTCTCTCTCTCTCTCTGTGTCTCTGTCTCTGTCTCTCCTCTCTCCTCCCTCTCCCCCCCCTTCCCTCTCAGAACTTGGCAGAGCCACAGCCCTCCTCCCTCCCTGCAGCTGTGGCAGGAGGGTCATAGAATGCGAGCATTCAGTTCATGACAACATGACAATAGGGTCACCCAGTCACTTTTTCTCCTCTGGTCTGCCCCTCCGTCCTTACTCAGCTGAATATGTAGTTGCATGACAAGGGGTGGAGCTGTGGAACCACCAAGGCTGAGGTTTGGGCTTTTCCTGCGGATATTCCGTCAGGATACATCACATCCTGAAGTCTTGGTCCTCTCAGGAATCCCAGTTCAGGGTTTTCCCCAATGGGCATGAACGCGTGGGAAAGCCCATGAGCCTACAGTGAGGCTTTTCTTTACTACATTGGATCTGAGTCCCATTGCATGCCAGCACCTGCCAGCTCTCAACTCTACTCCTGCATGCTGGTTTGGAAAGTAGAGGGTGTGGGACTAGGAAGGTGGCTCAGTGGTAGAGTGCTTGCCTAGCATACATGAAGCCCTGGGTTCAATTCTTCAGTACCACATAAAAAGGAAAAGCTGGAAGTGGCGCTGTGACTCATTAGTCTTGAGCACAGAGCAGCTCAGGGACAGTGTCCAGGCCTGAGTTTCAAGCTCCAGGACTGGCAAAAAAATAAAAAGAGAAGAAAGTAGAGGAAGCTTTCCTCTTCACCTTTGCCCTTGTGAGTTGCCAAAGGATCTAATCATATCTCCTACCAAATAGGGAGCTTCCATTTTGGGGGAGGGTCACTACTATGGTTCGAAACTAGATATTTTATAAACACTTGCATCATATTAACAACACCTATGGGCTGGTCATGATGGTACATAGTTGTAGTCACAGCTACTAAGGAGGTAGAGACAGGAGGATCAAGGTTTAAGAACAGCCTAGACAAAAAGAGCATGGTAGTATGTTCCTGTGGCCCCAGTTCCTCAGATAGGGAAGTAGAAGAATCTCCCATCTAAGGCCTGCCCAGGTAAAAGTTAGCAAGGCCCACCTGAAAACAAATGAAATCCAAAAAGCTGGGGGCATGGCTCAAGTGGTAGAGCACCTGCCTGGTAAATAGGAGTCCCTGAGTTCAAAACCCAGAATGACCGTAAATAAACAAAAACCAGCTTCTCTTCTGAGGCCTGCTGACCGGAGTGAAGGAATTATACCCCTGGTTTTGCTAGGTGTCACTCTGACCACCCTGTGGCAGAGGACAATTTCTCCAGGTCATGGTGGTGACAAGATGAGTGAGAGACAGTCCACCAACCTTTTCCTTCAGGCATCTTCCCTACTATCTAATTACGTAATAGCTGCCTTTCTCCCAGCATCCCCATGGACAAGACTCTGTCTTCAAACTCCTTGATTCTTGTGTCTCTATGGCATTGGGCTCGAGTCAATGCCAGCAACAGAAGGATCATGATGAGCATTCTCCCCTGGCTGAGGACATCCTCGTGGTTTCCTTTTGCAGTTCTCGAGTTTTTGTAATTCAACTCAAATCCTGTATTGGTTCACGACAGTATTTTCTGTGGATTTTGTGTAAAAACCCTCACACATATACTTCATACAGGGGCTGACCTAGAATGACTATTTAATGCCTGGAGTGTTTTTTTCCATCATTCAACCAAAGCGCAGGAGATGATTAAACTTTTGCTGAAACCAAGCAGTTAAAACTGAGCCTTTGATGCATCCTGGACATTTCCTGGGCTCTTACACAGCCCAGGAAATGGTGTACTGTACCTAAACAAGGAATCTTGCACAACCATGCTGGTTTAGACTAGGAGTCATAACCACATAGTCCATAGAACTTAAATACAGCGAATGCTGTAAGTGTAAAATATGGACTAAATCTTAAAAAAAAAATGTAAATATCTGCACAAGTGCTTCTGTGGATTACCTGCCAAAATTATGATATTCGAGGTACATTAGAGCATTAAATTTAACTTTATTGTTTTCCCCTTGCTTTCTTTCTGCCTGGTTTCTTTTTCTCAGTACTGGGGTTTGAATTCAGAGCTTTGAGCTTGCCAGCCAGTATGATACTTACATTTGAGCCACACCTTTGGCCCTTTTAGCTTTCAAGTTCTTTTTCAGATAAGGTATCACTATTTGCCTGAAGCCAGCCTCAGACTTTGATCCTCCTATGTATAGCCTCCTTCCCACATACCTGGGATAATGCATATGTACCTCCATTTTCCTCCCTTTGGCTGGCACTACTGGTGACTGTCTTAGGATCACTGTGGGCCCCTAGAGCAACAGCACCGCACCGGCCCCCCAGTGGATTCTATGCAGGTATTTTATATAAGAGGTGATATTGTTCACTGTGATAACTGAATGAGGTTTACTCTGCAAAGAGTTCTTCGATTCCACCCAAGCTCTTTTTCTACATTTCAGCAAAACTCGGGCAGCCAACAATACAGAGTTTTGAGCAAGTTGGGACAAAACTGAACGTGACGGTAGAAGACACACGCACGCTAGTCAGAAGCAACGGCACGTTCCTAAGTCTACATGATGTTTTTGGCAAAAACTTAAGTTATACCCTTTATTATTGGAGAGCTTCAAGTACGGGAAAGGTGAGAACTTTTTTTCTGCTGTTTTTTTTTTTTTTTTAATGCCTTGTTTTAATTGGTAAATTCTAAATTTCTGCACCCACTTTTCCCCCAATTCAACTCTGGCTGTACAGGGGTGGCTTCGAGGCTGGGAGCAGTGGGGGATGGGGAGGGGAGACACCAGGTCCTGGCTGTGCCTGTGGCTTTCAGCTGCCTGCGACTTTGGGCCCGGAGCCTCAGCCCTGGCCTGGACTACATTATCTTTGTCCTATCGCCTCTCACAGATCTTAAGATCTCTCTTAAGAATCCCTAAGGCAAATTTTACTTTCCTTTAATTCTTAAAAATAAAGCCTACTACGTGGCCTGTAATCGTACCTATTTGGGAGGCTGAGATCTGAGGATCACAGTACAAAGCCAGCCTAAGCAGGAAAGTCTGTGAGACTCTTATCTCCAATAAAGTACTCAGAAAAAAGTGGAAGTGGTGCTGTGGCTCAAATGGTAGAGTGGTAGTCTAGAGCAAAAGAAGTTTAAGGAAAGTGCCTAGGCCCTAAGTTCAAGCCCCAAGACTGGCACAAAAATAAAATAAAATATGTGTGTGTGTATGTGGTGTGTGTGTATGTTTGTGTGTGTATGATATGTTAGAAAGTGTGTGTGTGTGTGTGTGTGTTTGAGAGAGAGAGAGAGATGCTGGAGATGGTTGCTCAAGATCTTGCATGCTAGACAAGTTCTCCACCACTAAACTATGGCCCCAGCCCTCAAACAATGTCTGTTCAATTATTGGAACTTCCCACCTTCCCTGTCCTGAAGAGATGTCTTCAGGAGGCTAAATGTGCGCACACTGGACTCCGTCCGCCTCGGCCACGGTGTCCATGACAGTTCTGTGGCCAGCTGTCTAGCCGAGTGGCTTGTGCTCTGCACAGAGCTCTGCGGACACCCCACTTGGCGGCTTCGGCAGCAGTTTAACAGAGAGAAAGAACTGAAGGCTGGATTCAGAATTCCTTATCTTTTTTTCATAGAAAACAGCCAAGACAAACACTAATGAGTTTCTGGTTGATGTGGATAAAGGAAAAGGCTACTGCTTCACTGTGCAAGCTGTGATTCTGTCCCGAAAAGTCAACCCGAAGAGTCCAGAAAGCATCTTTGAGTGTACCAGCCCGGAGAAGGGTGTGTTCAGAGGTCAGTGGCTCTTCCCCGTCATCAGCTCCCGGACAGACTGGGGGACCCATTGCCGGGCGGATGATGTCTTGGTTTTGTTTAAGCGCTCAGGGAGCAGCTGCCTTAGGAACTGTAGAGTTTGTTTGGGGTTCTGTTCAGAATGGAGTCATGATCGTGCATTTCTAGGACAGCTGCCGCATGCCAGTCTCCCCGTGAAGTGCTGGGGATGCAGATGATGTTTAGGATTTGGCATCTTTCCCTACCTGTGTTCTGCCCCTGGCAAGTGGTTTCTGAAGCAGCTGCAGTGTGTGACATGGTGATCTGTGGCCACGGTCGGTGTGCGCATGCGTACCCAGACCGCAGCCCTGACCTTCCGCACCTGGGCCCCAGGCAGGAAGCCTGCGCGTGGCCCTCCAGGCTTTCCAGCAAAGTGCTCTGAGTACTTTCCGGGGAATAAGAAGAGTCAGAGTGTTAGTAACACTCTGTTACACTCCTTGTTAAGGGAAGCTTTTAAAATCCCAACAACCTTTGAATACTCTCTCCAGCTGTTGCTTTTACAGACGCCTCTGTCTCCCTTGGGCCCTGCCTGCCTGGGCCTTCCCCACACTTCACAGTCTCCCATCCTAAAGTGCCTGCTCTGGCCCAGCATCCTAGCTACTCGAGAGGCTGAGAACTGAGGATTACAGTTTGAGGCCTCTGGAGATGCTTATCTCCAATTAATCAGAAAAAAAAAAAACGACAAAAAACTGAAAGTGGAAGTGTGGCTTAAGTGGTAGATCACTAGCCCTGAGCAGAAAAGCCAAGCAAGAGGGTTAGGCCCTGAGTTCAAGCCTCAGCACTGACACAAGAATAAAATAAAAACTTTAGCCAGGTATGGGTGAGCCAGTGGCTCACGCCTGTAATCCTAACTACTCAGGAGGCTGAGATCTGAGGATCACTGTTCAAAGCCAGCCCGGGCAGGAAAGTCCTTGAGACTCTTTTCCCCAGTTAATCACAGAAAATGCCAGAAGTGGCGTTGTGGCTAAGGGATAAGAGTGCTAGCCTGTAGAAAAAGGAGCTCAGGGACAGTGCCCAGGCCCAGATGAAGTTCAAGCACAGATGATTGGGGGGAAAAAATTAAATTTTTTAATTTTTTAAGAAGTCCTGCTCTACTTCCACACCCTCTGCCTTTGTAGGCAGTGAGCTTCTGCTTCTCGGAGGGTGTCTGCCTCTCTCAGGAAGCTGCCTTACCTGCCAGTTGTGGTCCCTTCTTTACCAGAGTCCCAGGGACACCTCCTGGTCATCTCTGCTATTCATCTTGTCCTATGGGCCTGTCACAGACGGCTGCCATGTAACCATGTGCTCCCATCAGTTCTGCCTCCCTCCGGCTACGTGGGTCTTCTCTCATCTGCACACGTCACTAAGTGTCCCCATTAATGCTTGAGCCATTGTCAAATCCTCTTCCACATCTAGCCTTTGACAGATTCTTTCCTCATCTAAGTTTGGTAGAAAGTGGAAGAGAGAAATATCAAATTGCGCAAAATAAAACCCGGGATGATGTAACATGGGGTGGTCATGTCCTGAATTCTGCTCACCGCTCCATGCCACAGCGACCTCGGAGCTGACTTGGTGCCTTTCATTTTGCAGAAATGCTCATCGTGGGAGCCGTGGTCATTATGGCGGTTATCTTGATCGTTGTCCTGTCTGTCTCCCTGTACAAGTGCAGAAGAGGCAGGCGGGGGAGGAGCGGGAAGGAGAACTCACCGCTCAACTTGGCATAGAGGAAGTGTGGCCAAGGCTGCACCTGCTGCTCAGCACTGAGGCCCTGAATGTGTGAGACTGCAGAATGTATGGAAACTCCACGAGGACCGGAGAGTGAGCAGAATATATGGAAGCACAACGAGGAAGGGACAGCATGAAGGCCCTGGCTTCACAGAAGTTCCTTCTGTGACCTGTTCACTACAGTCGGCATTCTGATCTTGACAGCAGCGTTTGTCATTTTGCAACATAACCAACGGTACAGCTCACTCTGAAGTTGTCAGTTTGACTTATTTAACACTAAGGCAGCTTTTGCACAGATCATGCCTGTGACGGTCTGTTCCGAACTCGAGAAGAATGTAGGCTATCCAGGCATCGAGTGAAAAAGATAGGCGTGGAAGATGTCCTGGGTGGACTCCCCCCGCAGGAAGCATTTTGAGAACCTGGCTTCAAAGGCTGTGGGAACATGAAATGGAAAGTGGGTAGAATTTTCTAGTCTCCATCTTATTGTGACATGGTGTTTAGGTTTGGGTATTTGTTTGTTTGTTTTCCCCTAGGAATACTTTTTGGAAGTTGAAAGCAATTGTCAGACTTTTATATGAACCTATTTGATGTAGGGGATTTCTACTTTGGGCACTTTTTTTGATGTACATCACAATTTAGCACTTTAACTGACGTGGTGGTGATCAACTTTGGACAGCTAATTATATTTTTATAAGATTATTACTACAAAGAAACTACAGAGTTTATGATTTAAGGTACTTAAAGGTTGGATGGTTCACATTGTATATATTTATATGATTTTAAAGAAGGTTTTGTATATGGGGATATTCTATTTATATAGGTGCTATTTGTATATATGGAGATAATTTATTTAATATACTTTTATATAAACAAAGGTGTCTGGGAATTGAAGCGATCGGATTTGTCACATCTTGTCTTTATTATTTATGGTTTGGTTTTTGCATTGGTCATTTCTGCTGCAGTAAGGAATAGTTCTGAAGTTTTCATTGCTGTATCACAACTTTTCTTCATTTTTCACTTGGGCCACACTTTGGTAACTGTCAGGTAAATACAGCTATGAGAAGAAGCAATCTTTTCTCTCTCCATCTTGTAACCAGTCACCATTGTCTACTGATACTTTCTGGTACTGCTGTTTCCTGGTATTATTTCCTACTTGACTTAACAGTTGTAACTGTCATCTGTGGTGTTTGTAACCAGCCATGCCAAGGGCATGAATTCTTATCAGTGGAGTGAAAAAAAAATGGAGTGGGAACTCTCCACTGACTTCATCATCCTCCAGCTTCAACCAGGCCCAATCCCCATTGCCAGCTGGCTGAGATGAGAATGTGTGCTTTTGTCTCCAAAAGATAGCCCCTGCCCCCCAGTAGGGACCTTTCATTGACAGTTGGAGTTTTCTAACTTTCTTATACGTTACCCTATCACCCTGGTAACCAATAAAGAAAATGCAGGCTTGAGTCCTTAGTAACAAGAAGAGACATCATCTCTTGGGCTAGGATAAAAACTAAGTAAGACCAGACCACGGCACCTGGTGTACCTGCCTGGCTCTGGGTGGGGGTGGCAGACCACCCTTCTGTACAGAAGTAAAATGTCTTGACAAAATCATCTATATCTCTTGTGTGTCTTTTCATTTTCTGACACCAGAGGGTTGTGTGTTTCCACCATAGCTCCTCCTTACAATCTTCAGGTTGTAAGACCCCAAGCCAACCAGAAGTCTCCCCTTGGGTTGGGGCAGAAGGAAAACCAAAAGTCTGCTAAAAACAGGCAGCAGCAAGCTTCAAGCTTTAAGTCATGTCTTTAAACTCCTGCAAATGCACTGGTCCATTGTCACTTCTGCACACAAGCCAGTGACAATCCTCTGCCCGCTGGGAGATATCACAAGTCCCATGGCAATGGCAGGGCTGAAATCTTCCAGGAAAGGAAGAAAACAATTGCAAACTGTTGCTGCCTTACAGGGAGAGATCTCTCCCCAGGGGCAGTAAGTTGGAGTTATGGATGAAGAACTAAAGAGGGGATTTCTTTCTTTGGGTTGGATTGTAGCGAAGGCTTTGTAGACAAGGCTGGCATCTAGCTGCTGTAGGCACTGCTGTAGGAGGCTGAGGCCTCCGCTCTGATGCAGAGCAGTCTTGTGCTGTCATCTGTATAGAAAAAAAGGATCCTAAAGGAGATGAAGTAGAGGTTTTGGCACCTAGCTGGGCCAAACAACTGCTCTGGCTTCTTCTTTAGGAAAACCATCCAGATGGTCCATGTACCTGGAAGTGGTCCCACACAGACACCAAAAAAGCCTTCAAATGAGCAAAGACTCAGTTCAGACACCATTTGCTAGTGTGCTCCCAACCCATCCCTGTGCACCATAGAACTCAAGCATGGCTATGCATGAAAAGTTTGATGGAAGTAACATCACATCCTAAGGAAAAATGAGCAAAACAAAAGGTTGATGTCTCCTAGGAAGGGGGAGAGAGGGAAGAGAAGCTATTTGGTTGAAATTAAGAACAAACCAGTGATCTATTAATTGGCTGTTGTTTTTTTTGTTTTGTTTTGTTTTGTTTTTGGGTCCGGTCACGGGGCCTGAACTCTGGGCCTGGGCACTGTCCCTCAGCTCTTCAGCTCAAGGCTAGCGCTTTACCACTTGAGCCACAGCGCCACTTCCGGCTTTTTTCTTTTTGCTTATGTGGTGCTGAGGAATCGAACCAAGGGCCTCGAGCATGCAAGGCAAGCGCTCTACCACTGAGCCACCTTCCCAGCCCTAATTGGCTGTTTTTATTTGTGGTAATAAACAGCATTAATGCCAGAGTGGTTGAATCTTCTTACATTATGGGAGCATTTTCTGCACTACTGAAGAAGGGAGTGTATTTGCTTCAGAATGCACGCCCATCTTCCGAGGGCGTGCTACCGAGTTCCTGCTCCTGTGGAGCTAGCTATCCAAGACCAAGAGCTTAGTGCACCATGTTGGGGGCAGAGCAAGCCACAGGAACAGGTTCTGACCTGGTATCTCCCTGCTAGAAATAATTACAGCATTATGTAATTCCCTGGCTTGCTAATCTAAGGAATTTGAATTATCCCACTAAAAGTTTTGGCAGAGTGGAAGCAGGTCTGGGTACTCATGAGGTCTCTCAGCTGTTTACACAGAGACCGAGCTGCAAGGATCTGAAAGCTTCCACACTGTGAAAGTTAACCACTTCTGCCTGCCACACCTTGCCTTATCACTGACAGGGAACAGCTGCTGCAAAAATCAACGCTGATTAAATCCACACTAGAGCAAAGAACCCTATTGGTGTCCAGAAACTACTACCCTCGAGTGGACCAAATTATACTTCACTACTGGGCTTGGAATGGACTCTTAACCTAAACTGTCAGTTGTTAGTAAACTAGACTTTCGTGCTTTGTATCTATTTTTTCCATCTTTAAATATAAAAAACCCCCTCAGGAAATCTACAATTTAGTTACAAATGATGGCCCATAATCTAAGTACCTGCCTCTTTTTTTTTTTTTCGAGCCACTATGAACTGTCTTTTTTTTTTTTAAGTAACTGTTTTACTTTTATTTTTCTTTTTATTGTGAAAATACTGTACAGAGGGGTTACAATTACATGGGCAAGATAATGAGTACATTTCTTATCAAGCATTGTAGCCTTCTCCTTTGTTTCCCCTTCCCATCCCTTCCCATCCTCCCCCACCCAATTCTCCTCCTCCCTCCACCAAAGTTGTAAAGTTTGTTTTTCCACATAACGACTTGTACATCTCATTGTTGCAATGGATCCACCTGTATCCCTATTTAAATGATTTGTTTTTTTCCCTTTCCCTCCACAAATTATACCAACCTCAAATACAGTGAAAGCAGGGGTTATACCATGGGGGAGGGACATACAAAGCAACAAAGAAATAATCTTATAAATGTGTTAGAAACAATCACCTGAAAGAAAAAAAACATTTGAATACATATCTTAGGGTTCATTTCCCTAACATCAACTTATCTGACCATTTCTGGTTGTCTCAGACATATACTAGTTATTGCAAATAAGGGAAACCATTGGACCTGAGTTTCTTTGGGCCTGGCTTAATTCACTTACTATAATTTTTTCCAAGTCTTTCCATTTCTTAACAAATGGGGCAATGCCATTCTTTCTGATGGAGGCATAGAATTCCATTGTGTATATATACCACATTTTCTTGATCCATTCATCTACTGAGGGGCATCTGGGTTGGTTCCAGATCTTAGCTATGGTAAATAATGCTGCAATAAACATAGTTGTGCTGGTAGCTTTAGTATGGTCTTGTTTGTGATCATTTGGGTAAATGCCCCAAAGTGGAATTGCTGGGTCATAGGGGAGCTATGTGGAGTCTTTTGAGGAACCTCCATACTTTCCAAAGTGGTTGAACAAGTTTATACTCCCACCAACAGTGCAGTAAAGTTCCCTTCTGTCCACATCCCCTCCAGCATCTGTTGTTATTAGAGTTCTTGATTCTAGCCATTCTAACTGGGGTGAGGTGGTATCTCAATGTTGTTTTGATTTGCATTTCTTTTATGGCTAGGGAGGTTGAGCATTTCTTCATTGTCTATTGGCCATCCTTCTTTCCTCTTCAGAGAAGTTTCTCTTTAAGTCTTTAGCCCACTTATTTATTGGGCAGTTGTTTCTTGGAGGATTTGTTGTTGGGGGATTTAATTTTTTGAGTTCCAGGTATATTTTAGATATGAGACCCTTGTCTGTTGTAAGGCTAGTGAAGATCTTCTCCCAATTCGTGGGCTTTCTATTAATCTTGCTAGCTATGTCCTTTGCCATGCAGAAGCTCTGCAACTTCATGCAATCCCATTTGTCCAATTTTTCTTTGATTTGTTTTGTTTCTGGGTCTCTATTAAGAAAATTTCGGCCTGTGCCAAGGAGTCCTAAGGTTTCTCCTATTCCATCTTGTAATGTTTTCAGGCTGTCTGCTTTGATTCCGAGGTCTTTGATCCATTTGGAGTTGATTCTGGTGCAAGGTGATATATAAGGATCTAGCTTTAGTTTTCTGAAAGTATGAACTGTCATTTTTATTTGCAGCCTAAATAACCTGAACAACAAAAAGCTTACCAAAAGTTGTACAATTAAGTTTATGAACTTATACCTTCTTGTTGACTGTGCCTTTGTGTACTTTCTCTGGTTGCCAGCAGCCTGTCATCCACTTAGGACTGTGACAATCTTTTGTGACAAGGCAGGACTCTTCAATTTCTAACACCTATGGCTTTGCTCACTCAGACTTCAAGGGGTAACTCAGAGCTTTCTGCACTACAGCATTCCAAATAACTTGTATTTTTCCTGTTTATATTCTCTCGTTGAAAATGGCTCCAGCAAACATTAACCATCTAGATTTGCCAAAAAAGTTGAAATCGCCTGTTGGATGGAAGGCGAATGTGTCCTGTGCATTGCTTTTGGGGATTAAAAAATTTCAGGAGAATATTAACACCTCTGAAATAAAATTTTTAGTACTTGCCAGTATCCTATAGTACTTCTGGTGGAATCTCTGCTTTCAAAGGAGAAAAGATTATGAGATACAGAGACTTGCTAAGATCTCATTGCTGATATATTGATAGGTTGCTATCAGTACAAACCAAGAGGGGAAGAGAGAAATTCCTTCTGATGACCTCTTAGAGGACAGAGTCCACACCAGTCCATTTGCTCACTAGATTAGGTCTCCTTGAAAGTATCAGACTCCTAACTGAAGCAGCAAAAGAAGATAGTAGTTTCACAGGTGAAAAGTTGGAGAGTGTGGTCTAGATTCTGGAACAATATTTGGAACCAGAAACACGTAATTGCATCATAAAGACAAATTACATCTGTTGTCTGTCACTTCTCTAGTACCTGCTTCTTTAAGAAACAATGATCTCAGGGCTGGGAAGGTGGCTCCGTGGTAGAGTGCTTGCCTTGCATGCATGAGGCCCTGGGTTCGATTCCTCAGGACCACATAAGCAGAAAAAGCGAGAAGTGGCGCTGTGGCTCAAGTGGTAGAGCCTTGAGCTGAAGAGCTGAGGGACAGTGCCCAGGCCCAGAGTTCAGGCCCCACGACTGGCAACAAAAAACAAAAACAAAAACAAAAAA